TGCCACGCTAGTAGTAACAAGTGCCACGCTAGTAGTAACAAGTGCCATGCTAGTAGTAACAAGTGCCACGCTACTAGAAACAAGTGCATCGCTAGTAGTAACAAGTGCCACGCTCAGCGCAGGGCCGCAAACAACGCTCAGCGCAGGGCCGCACCTTTGCGCATATGTTTTCATCGCGCAGGGCCGAACTCTGCCAAAAGCAGATGGCGCACTGTGGGCCCAAGAAGGGGTAGAGGATGCTACTAGGAACGAAGGGCATCGCTACTAGGAGCAAGGGACGCTACTTGGGGCTCCTGGCCTTACTACTAGGAAAAAAAAGCTACTAGGAGCTTTTCCGTTGACAGGACTGCAAGAAGTAACAAACCTCTCAGAACCTCTCAGCAAGCGCATGTTCCAAGGTCAACTGCAAGAAGTTGCAAAGCACCCTGGCACCCTGTCGAAAGATGAAGCACGCAGCCACACTCTACTTCGCACGCGGCAAGCATGCAGCAGTTGAGCAGCATGCGTCAAAGTACAGAATGGCCCTCTAAAGACAGTATGCTTCACAGAGAAGTCCTTGTAACATCTATATAACTGTCGGAACTGCTTCTTTAGTGCCATGTAGGCATGTTGCATTCCATGCCCGAGAGATCAAGAGGACGAAAGAAACGAGCTTTGTGCTCGATTGGGATGGCCCAACCGTGTATGGAATATATTCTGTCACATTAAATGGTGTTTCTGGCGCAGGTTGCAATTCTTTGGGCGCCAGCATCTTTGACTGCTTCTGTAAATTTTGGCGGATCTTTGCTGAGCAGCTTGGTCAGGTCTAATACAGTTTTACACACTTCCAGAAAGCAATGGGGATAGAATAGGCAACCCGAACTGTGCCAACGGCAACTGTGATGCTGCAAAAAAATATCAACATCTTCAGCGCAACCTGTCACGGTCTCAGGGCAGCAGACTCGCCTGAGGCAATGCCTTGCTTGCTCCTTTGTTGCTTCGCGAGCGGTTTCCTGGCTATGATTGATTTTTCATAATATGTGGCCGCGCGTTTGCCATGGTTGCCGTGTTCACTTCCATGTAACATCATGTAACACATTTATTTTTCTACCTACAATCATTGGCTCGTTTCTGCGGTTGTGATTTCTGGCTGCACTTGACCGTTTGCTTTCCTCCAATGCTCACCACCGTAGCATACGGTTCAACAACTGAGCCTACGGGGCTTCCGGATCGCCCAGCGGAAAAGTCCGATGATCCGAGCGTGAGTCTTCACCCCTTTCCATTGCTACCAACAGCGGTAGCGGAGCCATGGCAAGCGCTATGGCTGGAGCTACCTCCTCTGCTGCTGGCGCTGGCGCTGGCGAGGGCAGCTACTCGCCCACACATCATGGAGGCCGAGAACGAGACGCTCCTCCGGCCTTTGATGGAGGTGACCCCTCTGCACTCAAGAGGTACGAGAGAGATTTGATGCTTTGGCGCTTCGACGCCGAGGTGGGGAAGGAGAAGCATGGTGTGCGGATGATCCGCATGCTGACTGGTGCCGCGAGGGCAGCCGCCGATGAGGCTGAAAGAGCTGATGAGTGAGGCAGGATGCGATGCGACCCCGAACAAGCTCAAGGAGCACTTTGCCCCGTACATGGAAACTGCCCTTCCAAGGGCGTTTGAGAAGGCAGTCTATGCTGAACCTCGTCGACCCAAGGAGACCCTTCAGGACTACATCGTCAAGTCCTAGGCGGCGTTCAAGGAGCTTCAAGACGAAGGAGCTACCCTGGATGACACAGTGAAGGGCTACATTTTATTTCGTCAAGCCAACTTGAGCCAGGTGCAAGAAGACCAAGTCACGACATGGACACCTGGCAAACACGACCGTGAACGAGTGATCAAAGCCCTACGACGACTTGAGAAGGTGCACCAGGAGAAGTTGGGCAAACACTATGTCACGGCCGAGGACGAAGGTGAGGCCTACATCCATGCAGGAAGAGCCGGCATGTTCCCGGAGGACGAAGATGAGAACTTCGTCTGGATCAACGAGGGCGACTTGAATGAGATCTACGACCTACGAGGAACAGGACTTGCAAGAGGCCCTGGCGACTTCCCAGGAGGTGAGACGGGCGCTTCGTGATCAAAAGGTGCAGCAAAACACCTGGAAGGGCAAAGGCAAGGGCAAGTCCAAGAGCAAGTTTCCCTCTCCGTTCCGAGGAAACAGGAGACGGGTCCATGTGGATCTTGTGAATTTGCGCACTAAGTGCGCACGTTGTGGACAAGTGGGGCATTGGGCAAAGGAGTGCGCAGGAACACCTGATGCCTACGCCCGCAATCGATCCACCGGGGACAAAGAGCCCGTCGACTTGGCAGGTGAGACAGAGAGTGCGCAGTCCTTGTGGTGTGATGGGAATCATTCGAGGATGCCATTGGTCACTTCGGGAGGTTTTGTTCGACAGGAACCCTCAACATCATTTTGCGGCATCCAGACTGATTCACATCACGGGGTGGTCGACACGGCGGCGCGCGGCGCAGTCGGGCTTGATCGGGGAAAGTGCCCTGCGCCGGTTGTTA